TTATTTAAATCTTTGCTCCCCAGGCTTACTGTCCATGGTCTGTCCATTTCATTCATTGTATTTCAGTTCTTTTTATCATGGATGCTCAGCGTCACATTTGGCTATTACCTAGGACAGTCTGCATGCAAATGCACCCTGATTAGGAACTCCCACTCCTACTGACTGACTTCTGTTCATCAAGGCATTTTAATATTTGTATAACTCCTCCCAAGAGCCAGCACCCTGCTTGCTGAGAGGATTATTGAGGCAGGGTGCCGGACATTTTAGAAAGCTTTGTTCAGTACTCTGCCAGAACATCCCACCAGCCATGATCTGTCTGCATTGTATAGAGTAGCACAGAAAATGGTACATAATAAAATGGGTTTTATTTAAAAATGTCATTACTATGTTAAAGAGGGTGGAAAGGAGGAACCAGGGAAAATATAAGCAGATTGAAGTTCTGCTTTTATGTGTTGTGCACTTTTATTAATGCTTGAAATGGAGGATATAAGAAATAACATGATAGTGTCACATTATCTGCTTCTCTTCTATACATACAGATCTCAGATAAATCTCCCCAGGACCGAGATCGAGGTGGCTGCAGTATACAAGGTGCTTCTACAGCAGGTCCGGGTGGCTGCAGTAGTATGGGGGCACCAGACCGAGGATTAAGTGACAGAAATTCAGAAAGACCCCGAACCTCTCCATCCCAAAGGTTAATGTCCACACACCATCACCACCATCATCTTGGCTACTCCCTTTTGCCTGGCCAGTATCAACTGCCCTATGGCACAGGTAATGTACTCTACACGTTCTTTGCAGCTTCTGTGAGGCAAGAACTCTGTTTCCAAGCCTTAATCTATTGTAGGATATTGAGTACCTTGTAGACTGTCAGTTAACATTGACCAGTCCTTCTGTTCATTGTGTGTCTGTCTTACCACATTTGTGAGGAAGTGTCTAAAGAAAGAAATGTTCTTGTTGGCCTCAGCAGATTGTAAAACAATCCTTTCTGTTTCGTGTGCATTGCATTGTGGGAGATAAATGTTTCTTGCTATGGGCAAGAACAAAACATTTTTTTCCCTCCTTATTTCGTCCTAATCTGATAACCGGTCACCTCTCTGTACCCTTAAAAAATATATATTCTCTCTTACTGTTGTGTCCCCATTGTAGGGATTCTTCTTTACCCCCTGTTCAGTTAGACACCAATCGGGCAGACAGGAATCGAGGGGAAATCTTTACATGGTGGACACAGAAAAGGGGGGGGGAAAAAAGCTTAACACCTCCTCCACACTATTGAGTATTGGCCTTTACATTCAGCAACGTGCTTTAAGGCTTGATACTTTTACAATGCACTTATCAGTGCTTTAATGCCGTCACCACTGTTGAGAATTGTTTTCCTGTGTTCAAGTTTTACGCTCCACGTTTTAGTGCTTCTAAGCCATTCATTTATATCCTTTCTTGTGCTAAGGCAGAACTAATTTAGAATATAGGATCACATGCTTAATCAGCAGCAATGTACTGAAGGCAGAAGGGTCTATTTAATGCAGAGATTTACAGTGTTGTCTGTTCTGGGCACAATTAACAGCATTTAAGGCTCCTAAATGGCTCATCTAAGAGCATTTTAAACTTGGCTTAGTAAAATAACACTAAAAAGACCAAAGATCTGCTTAGGTTTATTATAAACTGATTACCATCTTTTTTCTTTGGTGATGCATTGTGTTAATTAATATCTTTAAATCTAATCTTAATCTTTTTATCATGAATGACCCCTTCAAATTATTCAGTCAGGGAACCTCTACTAAAATTGATTCTATCTGTAGCTCATGGTACCTTGGGTTTGAACAGTAAGTTGTAGATATAGTAATAAGAGTAAATAATGGCATGCTTGCTATATTTATAACCAGGGGTGGGGGATATTTTTTATTAGTTCCTGCTCTATACAGCAAAATTATTTTCATTAATAATCATGAAATAAACCTAATGATGCCAGAAAAGAAATGCAAACGGTGAAAATAGTACGGTCTCTTTATAGTGGTCAGTGCAGAAATGCCCCCTTACATCCGTGGTGTTTGTGTGTCAGTACTGGTTCTCTCCACATGCAAGTCAATGGGGAAGCAAAAGCAGTTTAAAGTAGGTTGATGCAAATGAGGAGTTCAGCAGCACTTGGCAATGCACTGTATATAATCTCAGAAGCATCTCAAACTGCTCTCAAATGCAAGTCGAGTGCACAAAACTGGTGGTCAGAATGCCCCTTACATTGGTGGTCAGTGGGAAGAATGCCCCTTACATTGGTGATCAGTGGGAAGAATGTGCCTTACATTGGTGGTCAGTGGGAAGAATGCCCCTTACATTGGCGGTCAGTGGGAAGAATGCCCCTTACATTGGCGGTCAGTGGGAAGAATGCCCCTTACATTGGTGGTCAGTGGGAAGAATGCCCCTTACATTGGTGGTCAGTGGGAAGAATGTCCCTTACATTGGTGGTCAGTGGGAAGAATGTCCCTTACATTGGCGGTCAGTGGGAAGAATGCCCCTTACGTTAGCGGTCAGTGGGAAGAATGCCCCTTACGTTGGCGGTCAGTGGGAAGAATGCCCCTTACGTTGGCGGTCAGTGGGAAGAATGCCCCTTACGTTGGCGGTCAGTGGGAAGAATGCCCCTTACGTTGGCGGTCAGTGCGAAGAATGCCCCTTACGTTGGTGGTCAATGGGGAAAATGTCCCTTACGTTGGTGGTCAATGGGGAAAATGGCCCTTACGTTGGTGGTCAGTGGGAAGAATGCCCCTTACGTTGGTGGCCAATGAGAAGAATGCCCCTTACATTGGTGGTCAGTGGGAAGGTTTCTCACCTTTTTAAAAACAGCTGCAAAAGATTCTTTGTATCATTGCCTACCTGAGAGGAGAGGCTCCCTGGTCCCATGCTGTGTTACGCGCTTTGATACTAGAACTATGCAGGCACCATCAGCCAGGCGGTAACAGTGCTGTAAATTACCATATCACCACGGGAAGCTGCACTAGGGGGACTTCACTGACAGGCTCAACAGGTATTTTGGGGGCTTTGCTGGGTTACAAACAGCAAACTAAGTTTGCACTTTAGTGCAATAGCACTTTTTTTTTGTTGAGATGTCATTGTTGTACTTTAAGTTGTTCTTTACTTGTCTAAATAATTCAAATGAAACTCCAGGCAAAATGTATTTGCTTTTTTTTGTATAGAATCATAAAAAGTTAGAACCTCTGTCCGATTTAATTTCTGTATGTATCCTGTGAGAGGTTTCATGATTCAGAGGCAGGGTTCACTGGGACAGGAAATGAAGGGATATTTCCCAAACAGGAATGGAAATAGCAATAAAAACCTCACGGTTCTAATTCTTTCCCACTCTTGTTTAAAAGCGGGAAAATGTTTTGCCTTAATTTCCATATTTCAAAGATATATATATATATATATATATATATGTATATCTGTAGGCTGTATATATATATAGATATATATAGATATATATATATATCTATATATATATATCCATATATATATAGATAGATAGATAGATATAGAGAGAGAGATATATAGATAGAGATATATAGATATAGTGTGTGTGTTTATGTAGAGTTTTAAGTACCTTTTCTGATTACAGGTTTGTCATCTACACCCATTGTAGCAAGTCAGCAGGGTTCCGCGCCATCACTTTACCCACCCCCGAGGAGGTGAAAGCGGTACGTTTTTCACGTTTAGCATTCACATTTTGAATGTGTTTCTGTTTTCTTGCACTGTTACTTGCCTTTAGAGTCCTCTAGTATTCCTAAGCGGTTTCCTCCGGCCAGTTTAACTAAACAATAAATATCTGAATTTATGTAGAATATATAAAATAGTGCTTACAAATTATTGTCTCTTTTAAAGACGAACTCCAGGCAAAAATAATCTTAACCCTTGCAGTGGGGCTACCCCATACACCGCAAGGGTTAAGTGCTTGTTTTCAAGTAGACATGAAAACAACAGATATACTCACCTGAATCTCGGAACCGACTGGCTGCTAGACCGGTCCCTGCAGTCTCGCTCCTCCTCTGCTCCAGCGATGCAATGTCCCTCTCGGCGTCCTCACGTCCTATACAGGACCTTAGATTGCCGAAGCAAGGCTGCAGGGACCAGTCTAGCGGCCAGCTCTGAGGCTCAGGTGAATATATCTTATTTTTATTTTATTTCCCCTTGACGAAAACAAGCACTTGACCCTTGCAGTGTGGCGGGTTCAAATTATTTCTGAGGTTTTTTTTTTTAACTGGAACATATCAAAACTAAAATGGTATGCAATGATTTGCTGTTTAAATGTCAATATTATGAAGCAAAACCAAAATATCTACATGGTATATTAAATGTCAACATCACACATACTCATTTATTTTATCAGTCTTTCCACATCTGCTCACAAAAACATTTCTGTAAGCAAAAGCCAAAAGTAAAAATTGCTGGCAGCACAAAGAGTGTCAGGCTCATCAAACTCCATCAAACTAACCTTTTCAAATAATGCCTCATAATATTGAAAACAGATTGTAAGATAAACGAAAGCATCTGTATCCAGAAGAGAGAACGGCGCTGGTTCTCATTATCAGTCAGATTCTACCTTTTACCCACCATACAAGAGAGGTCAGAATGACGATCTGGGTTCATCTTCTCCTTCAGTCATTATCAAGGCCTAGACATCAAACATTAGCTTATGTCAGCAATGTACACCAAGTGTACATAAATCAGGCATATGCTGTTGCTGTATATGAACACACAAACATTTCTTTTTTCTTTTTGCCCTATTATTCTCCTTAGGGCTCATTTTGAAATGGCCACCTCTGTGCTCTGCAAGCAGTCTGTGTAAATTAACACTCTCTCTCTCTGAGCTCTCTCCTCATTCTCATCCTCCCCCCCCCATACAGTGTATTGTGACCTGGAAAGGCAGAACTGGTGTGCAGTGATCTTGCTACAATGACTTGCAGGGAGGGGCTCGGCTGCTTTACAATACGACCCCAGTGTCAGACTGAGTTTCCTCTGGAGAATATTTTCTATTTGTAGGATACAGGCCTACTAGAAAGTCCTTACAAAAAGAAAGCCAGCAATGCGAGTCCTGAAAATGTGCACACATATACATCATCACTGCACCTCTGCATTACCACAATATATGCTGATCACTTACAAAGGTGGAAATGGACTTTAAACGTATTTTGTTTCAGGGGGCATACTTTGACTATTCTTTTTTTTTTTTTTCCTCCAGAAAAAACATCTGTCAAGTTCCGTGTCTACACAAGTCATGTGACTGGATCACAGGACACATCTGAAAGAGTTGGCGCAGTTGAATGGTGTTTCCACCAAGGGCTCCTCAGTTCCTATTCAGATCCAGGACACACAAGTCTAATTGTTGCCCCTTCAAAAGCTCAGCTCTCCTCTTCCTATTCTATGGAGACCTGGTTTTGCAAAACATGACTGTATTTATTCTTGCATTTCTCCAGTGAACTGGGCCATGAGGAGAAGACTTTCCTTGTTCATAGTGAATATGAATGCACAGCATCAAACACCTCAGTCATATTGTGGAACATTCAGGGTCAGGAAATGGCATCCTGTACCTACAGACTCTGGTTAAATGTTATTTTCAAGTTACTATGATGATGACTTTGTTCCTGTCCTGTTGTTGACACTCCATCAACCATGGCTCATCAGTTTATGGATTTGAGATTTGTTTTGACCACATGCTCAGGCATCTGATTTTTCACAGGTTACGCAGGTCAAGGGAGGCTTTTGCAAATACGACGTCGACATACCTTTCGAATATTCAGTTTTATGTTTTAAACGTTTAGGGAATGGCTTTTAAGGAGCTGTTTCTTTTCAATATCCTTCAGTTCCACATGTCTGTTTTCTGATCGAATGTCTGAATTTTGTCATGGCAGTTACTAGAACTTGGTGTTTGTGCTTCATTGGCCAACCACATAGAGATACAGAGGGTACCTTTTTTGTGAACCTACAGGCTGAAAGTTAATGTTACTTTGCACTGTCTGAGCAGCTCTGGTTCACTACTCAACTTGTCCCCACCGATGCCTTTTTTTTTTTTCCTTCTTGATTGAACAACACAGATATTAACCTCAAAGCTCTTAATCTCCTGTTTTGCTAATCCCCTAGAAAATGGGAGAAATGAAATGGTTAATTTTATATATGCGGAGGCATGAAGACATTATTGTAATAATGCAGGGCTCCCAGTTCTGCCCCTTGGCTGTGTATAATGTGTATATATACTTGATGAGGTTCTTTTGTAAGACACTAATCTTAAAAAATGGGGAGATATATTTCACATGTGAATTTTAGATCTGTTTAACCACTAAATATGGCAGGATGCGTTTCATGGATCAGCGAGAAAGCCCCACTGGGTTGACTTCCTTTCATATTTAAAGTTATTTTTTAAATATAGGGCATGCAAAGTACATTGCAAACCTGTTTATCTGCAGGAGATATGTGTTCTCGTGCAAGAGAATGATGAAACCTGTAAGGATTGTGTCCCTCTGTTACAAAGATGCACTTTGTGGAATCGTGAACTGCTTTTACAGGCTCGCGTGTTTTAGATGGCAACAATAAAAGCATTTGTCACCCCAGGAAAGCTATCACCACGTATGAGCAATCCCTTTGTGACCGCAGGGAAATATCTATGGAGAGAATCCCAGTTATGTCATTGACATTCATTAAGTGTCTTAATAAATGTAAAGTCGAACTCTTTCCCCTGTAGATACGGTTATGAGAAATTATATTTAGGAGAAAGAAAGTAGGTTTTCAGTCAAGAGCATCGTACTTTGATAACGCAGAAGATGACATACAAATGTCATTATGGGGTCATCCAGACTGCTGCTATTTTCCAACAGCTTGTTGGTACTGTCACCATCTATGTCTAGTACTCTGTCTTCTGCCAGCAAAACTGTCACAGTGACCTCTCTGTTCTTGGTTCAATTCAGCTTCATTTATCTGGAACTGTCCAGTTGTTTTTTTTTTGTTTTTTTTTTGTTTTTTTTTTAAACGCAATGTTTAAGGGGGATTACTCAGAGTCATGTCAATCTTCCACCACCCTATAAAGATGCACAATGATATCGGAACGTTTTGTAGGCATCAACTCTCTGGTAGTGACACCTCTTCTACACCAGGAGGTGACTTGAAGGAATTTCATTCAAAATACAAACATAATGTATTTAACCCTTTCTGGAAGTTTTCCAATAAAGTTCTTTTGTATTGCTTGGTTGTAAACAGAACTTATTGTATATGGAATAAACTTTACCCCTTTACACCTTGAATGTGGGTGATTGGGGAGCAGAAGCCCTCTCACCCTGGAACCTTCGTACGTTTCTGTATAAAGATGTAAAGTTATATTTCTGTTATGTAGCTATTTTTTTTTCTTCTTTTGCATACAGATTTTAAGTCTTTGATTTTTCTTTATTTTTCTCGCGGTTTTAAAGAAAAGAAAAAAAATACACGCGTTTGTATTACACTTTTGTTTTATCAGAACAGTGGTCTCTTGTATGTGTGTTAAATGTGTGTAAATTATTTTTTAAGATTACATTTGTGATTGCGAATGCCTAAGATACAGGTGTACTACTTGTACAGCAACAATCCTGTATGGCTTCTCCCACCCTCTTAGCTTGAATAGCAAACATCAGATCTTGGATACATGCACATTGTTCCCTATAAAATACAATTAAAGATTATCTCATCGGTTAGGGTTTCTCGTACACCATCTTCTGGCTAGTATTAACTGTGAAGGATCTATGGTAGTGATAAAGTGAACACTGGTAGAATAAAATATGGATCCATGAGACACAGATTTTATAGGTGATTAATATGAGAGGAGGCCAATAACTTCTTCTAACCAAGATCCAAATGTGCTAGGGATCTGACATTTAGTCCACTGACTCTTCCTTCTCTACATATCACCCTCCTATGGTTACACACTTTTTCACATCTCTGGAACAGACCTTTAATACCATCTGCGTAGAAGTATGCAGATTTGGAGGAAAACCAGCTATCAAGTTCAGTAATGACTGCCTCATCATTGTGGAAACTTCTTCCCCGTAAATGTTTCTTCAGATTTGGAAACAGGAAGAAGTCCAAAGGTGCCAGGTCAGGTGAGTAAGGTGAATTGGGCAGAGATTCATAGCCACACTCGCTGACATTACTTCATGGATTATTTGGGCAGATTTCCTTTGAAGATGGAGGAACCCAATCACGGCACGGTATTCAACTTTGTCCGGCATGACACCGACTCTATTTCTCTTGGCTCTAACGATAAAGCCGTGACCTACAAAAACAAAATTTGGCATGCATATTACTAAGATATCCACCTATAAACCTGCAAGATTTCAGATCACTAGCACATCTAGATGATGTTGAGGGTAAGAACTTATTGGCCTCCTCTTGTTTTAGTTTTCAATAGAACAGACATTGGGTAAAGCTTTGTAGTGCTTTTTTATTTATTTTTATTTTTTTGGTTTTGGTTTTTGTCGCATTTCATTGACAAAAATCCATTTATTTTGATTTCCCTTTATTTCCTGTCCAGGAGACACAATAGAAGTGAGGGAAATACTTAAGATTGTTTTGCCTGGTACATATATCACAATTGGAAGCTTTCCCTTTACGTCCAATTCTCATGACAATAGTAACATTTGGGATTTCCTTTGATTTTCTGTTCTGGGGACAATGAGCTCCAAGACAAATACCAGATCCCAGACAGCAACAAACTGGTTTTAACTAGGGATGCACCAATACTAGTATCAGTGCCGATACTGAGCATTTGGGTGAATATTTGTACTCTCCCAAATGCTCCGATGCCTTCCCCTGTACTGGAGCTTCCGGCCAGAGGAAGATTTCCGCTGATTGGCAGTGCAGTAGGGGAACATGGAGCCGGCTCCCCGAGCAATCGGGAAGCTGGGCGACAAGTAATTACCGGCTTCCCAGCCAATCAGCATGGAGCCAGCTTCCTGGCCAATTAGGAAGCCTGCTGCCTGATTGCCTGGAAAGCCGGTACTATGTCAGTGGAAGCATCGGTATCGGCGAGTACCGAAAGCAAAATATAGGTACTTGTACTTGATACCGAAAAAAAAACAGTATCTGTGCATCCCTAGTTTTAACCTTCCCTAGCAAGATGAAAAACATTTGGCTTTAGATATTTGAAAACATAACCGTTCTGTATTTGCTTGATTTCGCAGGCGCGCGCAATTTTAACGCTTGACATGTTTGGTGTCTATTTACCTGACGTGACACTCATATTTATATTTTACCAAAAAATTGGGTAAAAATAATTGTTTTCTAAAATAATAAAGGGAAAACCATTTAAAAAAAAAAATATTCTGTACTTTTTTTGTTATATAAAAAAAAACAACCCCAGTGGTGATTAAATACCACCAAAAGAAAGCTCTATCTGTCCCCCAAAAAATGTATAAAATTTATTTCAGTACAGCGTTACATGACGGAATAAACGTCAGCCAAAGTACCGCAGCGGTGAATACTGAACAATGGCCTGGCCAGGCAGGGGATGTAAACACCGCGGTCAGCAAGTGGTTAATGATTAGAGTGCTCAATTCATGTATGACTTCTATATGTGCCTGGAATTCAGGTTTAAGGGTATTTACATACAGACTTCCACAAAATGCCCATGTAAACATGTCGGCTCCTGTGCTTTTATGCTTTTCCTATTCAAGACTGACCTCTCAGAGATTGCTGCATCTGAGTGTCGGGTGCTTGTCCTGAGCTTTCTTTTCTGGTGCTTGTGGGTACAGGGCTTATAACTATTGGTATGCCTCATAAATTCTTGTCCAATTTAAAGGCAATCTTTCATGCTATATTCAACACCATAGCATGCTTTTTGTTAGGTTGCCTAAAATATTAATGGTGAGTTTGATGTCACGGTTGAGAGCCAACTTATCTGTGGCGCAAGCTGGCAAATTTTCTGACTATAAATAATAGTATCACAAATCTGACTGCAACATTACATACATTACCTTACTTACCTTACCAGATCGCTCTGCGTGCAAATTCTAAAGTTGCTCAGCCACATTAGCTAGCAACAGTGCCAAAGCTGTCCCTTTAACCTCACAGCTTTGCATGCGCACACTGGAGTATGCTTTGGTAGGCCTGCGTATACTACATTTACGCCCTGGGAACGTGTGTTCCCAGGGCTGCACACACGTTTGTCAGTGAGCCTCCCCATCCGAGAGCGCTGTCTATGTTTTTCTGTTTTCGTATACTACATTTGGCAGCTTTTTCAATTCTGTCAACTGTTCACAGAGGCATTTAAAGATACAGACCACTAGATGACTAGACATTTCACAGTACCTGACCCTCTTTCACAGAGTTCACACTTTGCCATGCAAAATTGCTATGCAAAATTTCATGGTACAAAAGGGTGACTCTTTTCGACAGCTGCCTCTGTTCCCTTATCTGCTGGACTATCTGAGTTTTCTTTTACTCCTCCCTCTCTGATCTTCGAATCTATCGCTTACATTATAGTGAGTTTTATGACTGAAATAGGCTGTTTTCTACCCTGAATGCAAACCACCTATGAAACACCACCTGTTCCCTCAGACTTGAGAGTGAGGGTCTGGATTTGCTAGGTCCTCAGATACCTGCAATCTCAGATGAAAACTTTCAGGACCTTGTTTTTGTTACCCTTCCTCATGAACTAGTTTGTTTTCTAATTCAAGCTGTTCCCGATACCTCAAAGATGGAGTATTCTCCTGCCTTGTCCAACCATGGCCTCAGTTGCTTTTGGTCCTTGCAAAGGACTATACGTGGATTCTTCCGTTGTTGGCTGATGTCTCCATCTCTACAGTTGGGCACTTTGTTTCTTTCCCTTTCATGGGTAGATGTAATGACTAGGGATGCACCGATACCATTCTTTCCACACTGAGTATGAGTACCGATACTTTTCCTCAAGTACTCACTGAACCAATTACCAATACTTTCTTCTTAGTGTCATGTGAAGTTTTTTTTTTGTGTGGAGCACCAGGGTCCTTTTACAGCTGCAAATGTTGTGCCCCTAATAGTTCTGCCACTGCCTCCAAGCTGTAAAGGGACTACAACTCCCAGCAAGCTACTGTACAGCAATGCAGAATTACACCAGCTGTAGAGGTCTACAACTCCCAGCAACACATTATACAGCAATGAAGAATAATATGGAGCTACAAACTGTTGCTCACCAGGGCTGCGGGTCCTCCCTGGGCTAGTTAAGCCAGGCTAAGACTCATATTAACTCTCTCAATGCTTATCTCTCTACTGGGAAGGGGGTCTCTCACTTGTG